CTGATGGGGGACTTACTTCCTTGTCGATGGTTTTTACGTTCTTTCTTTCTTTTCCTTCTGTCAGTTTTTCCAGACTGTGAATTTTCGCAGGGTGATTCAGAAATACACGTCACTTGCTGGTTGGCGTCGTCATTCGTTTGTTTCACGCTCAGTTTCCCCTACTTGAGATTGTTGTCACTTGCTTGACTAAGTTTATTATTATGTTTTGTGTTCATGATCAGATAATTATCTTTGCAACGGTATATACCAGTGTTCCCCAACATATATGTTGTCTGCGGACCAGCGGGAGTCCACAGACTTTTTTTTTTATAACCAGTCTACAGGAAATTTTCAGCAAAAAACATTTATTAAAAGTAGCAATGATCTCTGTTATCATTATCTAAAACTTTGGAAAGACAATGGTAGTTGAAAACATTTAATTAAAAATAAAAATTGGCTTTTTCCCTAATAACAATTTGGATTCAATTTTACCTGCAGAAATAAATTTGTTGAGTCCTTCATTCTGAGAAACCATTCTTCAAGTCCACCTTTCTAAGTTTTTCATGACATTCTGCTACAGCTGCTTTATAGGTGCTTAACTAAATTTTTTGAAAGATGCAGACAATTTTGTTTGCAGGTGGTATACCTTGCGATTTGACCCTAATCTGTTGAAAAACTAGGGTCGAATTCTAAAGTGGTTGAATTGCAAGACACTCCCTGAAATTCAAACATATAATGACAAAAATTAAAAAAGTGGCCTAAGCAGGTTGAATTTTAGGGCAAGGGTCAAATTGCAAGTTGACCTCCCTGAAAATTTGACCACCAAATTGTGGGAAGGTCGCATTGCAAGGTACCACCTGCTGTATCTGCCATAAACTCAAGCAACATTTTTTCAAGTCTGTAAAAATTTTATGAAGCTTTGCGGGTCTGCAGAAATTGTTCTGGGAATTTGCTGGTATGGAAACATTTTATGAAAATTTGCAAGTCCTCATCAGACCCAAAAAGGTTGGGGAACACTGGTATATAAAATCAAACCTCTCCAAGCCTAATTTAAAGGGAGCAGCAAAAAAGTTGATTCAGAGAAGTGTCAAGTTAATGAGGTTTCGTGTGAGGTAAATGAACATTTTTGTTGTGGAAAATGTACGAAAAATGCAGGAAATCGGAGATGGAGATATTCTGTGCGTTAAATTGCTATTTGAATGAGTCGACCAGCGCAGATGCTGAACTTTGTGGCACAGATTCATTCATACAATTAATCTTCAAGTTTCTTTCAAAACACATCATTCCTTTTTCATTTCTTTTCTCTTACCTATTTCAAAACATAATAGTCAAAATGCCTCTGAGAATTTGAGTTTTGCAGGTTTTAGAGGAAAAACCTTCGAGTTAGGGAGGTTTGTAATGCATTGTTTCTAAAGGAATTCAAATGGGGACTTGAAACAAATTCACCATAGCTCTTTGGGAATTACTTTTTGGAAGATAAAGATAAATTTCGAATGATTAGTTCTTTTATTATTCTAATTTCATCAATCATAAATAATTAAATTATTTCTCATCCTTCTCCTTCTAACATTAATTTTTTAAGAGGAAATAAAAATAAAAATAATTGATATAGAAAATGAAAATAATCGCAAAATAAATGTGGTTCCTTTTTAATGATGAAAATTTTAAAATGATTATTATATTTTAGTATACTGTTTCTTTGTAGGTTTTTTCATTAAAAAAAGTTACGTTTTTCGGGTTCGTCCGGCAGTCCCTGACACACGCCTGGTAAAATATAATTTCCTGGTACGACAAAATGTTTCAGTCCATTATCCGAAGCAGGGTCCGCTATTTTCATTGCAAGAATCCGGAGCAGTGCTAATCCATTATGCAAAAACTAATAACATGGAGCGTCCGTATAAACCCGAGTCCAGTACTGTACCACCGTATTCCGCACTATACTCAGACACAATGAGAGGAAATAATCGTTCTGCCTTGACACTGAATGCAACCGACGTCGCATTGACTTTTATCCCCGTCTCCTCCGTCTATGATGCAAATCAAATTGCGCGGAAGGGCATTCCCATTGTGCATCCCGGCGCCATGTGTCACTCGGCTATTGAAATTCGATGCTCCGCTTATACGATCTGAGCAAAGAGGCGTAAAAATAGCGGACGCATGATGGAACACTATATATATGGTAGCTATATACT